TTATTTGACTTTTTTCGACATACCATATTTATTAATGTATAATACGATCTCATGTATAATACGACCCCGCCCCCTTTTTGAGTTTAAAAAGCATAAAAAATTTAATCCTCAAACTACCTCCAATTTCAAACAGATTTCAAGATTTTACAGCCTTTGCAGTCTTTATACATATCAGTAAAATGATCATTGGACTGTTCATTTTATTTTAACAACATATGTACTAAAAGGTATTTTGACAACAAATATACAGTAGATCAGCTGTAGCAGTATCATATGAATTCTGGCATTTTACACATAGTCCACCAGGAGGCACCAACACAAAAGTCAGAGACTTCACATGAGACCTGGGCCATCTTGTGGGGGAAAAGCAGATTACTTCCTACTCGCGAGCGCCCCCTCTGGTGGGGAAACGTGTTTTCAGGGATACAGACTTTTTCAGAACACCGGTAGACGGCAGCCATTACAGACAAACGTGTTTGTTGTTGTTCGAGGAGCGGCTCGGTCACAAGCTAATGTCATTAGTTTGTTTTCATTACTGAGCTGCAGGACTGCTTTTCCCCCCTTTTTTCACATCATGTCTCCTGCCTGGATCTGTTATTATCTCACTCTGAAGCACAGAGGAGGGTCACAGGTGAGCTCGCTTCAGATGCTTTTTACAACACGGTCTCATTTCCGGACTCAATAATTTTGCCGATATTTCAGTTAAAATACATAAGTAAAAATATTTCTCCGAGTATAATACTACCCCCAACTTTATGGATGATTTTATGGATTAAATTTTACGTGTTATACTTAAATTTAGTTCAAATGCAAATGAGTTATGTGATAAAATGTGTGCTGAGGTGTAAAAAATGAAGCAAAACCTCTCTGATTTTAAAAACTGAACGGTGGTTCTACTTGTAGGATCCCTGAGAAATAATCTGACAGAGTTGCTTTTAAATGTTCTGCTTGCAAACATGGTCTGCTCCACAAGGTGTCCCAGAGTCACCAAGCACAGTTTGAAGTCTTCATTCTGTTTCTTTTCTGCCCTAGAGGGCTTTGGAACAAAGTGGTTGGGCTCACATAATGTTCCCATTAAACTTCAACACACAGAGTCTTCATTGTTCTTTTTTGTGTGTGTCTGGTTAAAAAAAAATAGGAGTCCTACCTCCAAACTCATTCTTATTTATGACTCAGAGTGACTTTGGGTTTTTCTGGTTTCTTCACAGATCCTGTTCATGTAACTCTATGTTTGGAACAAAGTGGTCAAAAGAAACATTTGTGAGAGGGTTTAAGGTGAGGTTTAGATCAGGTCTTCATCTCCCGCAAAGTTGAAATTAAATACAAAAATCTCTTGTGATGCAAAGAAACGTTCACATCGTTTTCCTGAGGTACAAACCTGAAACTTCATGCTGCCTGAGCTCGTTGTACTTAAAGGCCTGCTCCATGGGCTTGATGGCTGTATGGTAGATGTTCAACAGTTTCTTCACTGCACCTAAACAGAGACAATCACAAAGAGGCAGAACTGATGACAAAGGCTGCTTCCTCTCCACATGATGAACTGCCCTCATAAAACTTGCTGAATGCAGCTGATATATTTATTAAAATGGATGGATCTGGTTTGACGGAACAGAAGGAGCCTTCATGCTGAGGACAGTTGCACATTTAGACTGATTAATCCCCCTCCTGTAGACATGTCTGCACACACATGCAGCTGTAATGTACACGTGCTCAAGTGAAGGATCGGTACATCATGAAGTAATTTTCAGAATAGTTTTCGCTCTTAAAACGGCTTCAAACTGTCTTTTGTTTGGTTTCAAACACATCTGGTTTCCTTTTGCATGGACAGAGTAAGTGTAAACAGTCTGATGCCTTTTTTTGTTTGAACACATGACTCCAGTTTGAAGTGCAGCAGAAGTCTAAGAGCGAACTCAGAAGATACAGCAATTTGTTGGGTTTTATTGTCTCTAATATACTGTGCATGATAGTGCATAATGCATGTGTGGTGGAGAACTTGGAACAGGAGTTCTTGAATAACAAATAAAAAGTAAATCACATCTGTTGTGTTGTTATTTGTTCCTTACCAGAGAACTCAGCTGAAGGTTCAGCCATCCCCAGTCGCAGCATGTCCTCAATGTGGGAACGGTCCCTCAGGCCTGTGACCTCTGTGTGTACAGTTCAAATAAATTATCATTCATTATTCAGTAAGCCCAAACTTACACCTGTGGTTGTAGATAACCAGTTACACAAATATTATTCCTGTTTAATATGGGAGCTTTATTAATCAAGTTGTGAAGCAGAGAAGCCCAGCTGAAATGACATGCTCCTCAGCTGTAAAGTGACTGGGACACCTGGGCCCAAACACTGGTCCAGTTGTTATATCATCCTGTTCTCCATTTATCAGTCTGCTTCTTTCACTGTTATTTCAGTCCATTTATTTCTGCACAAGAGCTTGTTGCTAATTCCCTTTTAACACAGTGCATCATTTAGGTTTGATTTATCCAGCTGAGACACAAAAAAATAAATTAATTAAAAAAGCGAGAGAAATGGCACACTTGTTATCGGTTCACAACTCCGTGTCTGTTTAATGACCAGTGACACTAAAGTCCATTTATTAAATAGATATTGTTTTGTGATTAATGTGTAGCAATACGTAAGTACTGGGTACATATCAGGTACTTGCAGTGTATGTATTTATGTAGAATTTGCAGGGTACCTATCTGGTACATASCTGATATCTATCAGGACAGGGATGTGTTATGAAGTGACTTGTTCCTTGGTAGGTATCCGGTACTTGCAGGGCATGTAGGCACATATTACCCATGCCTTTTTGATTATTTTAGCTAGCATTTTGCTACATTTCGCTTTTAACCAATATTTTTGCCATATTAAGCTTTCAGCTACCCCATGCTGCTTTTAGTTAGCGTTTTGTAGATTTTGGTTTTTAACCAACATTTTGTAACACTGCTTTTCCATCCATCCATCCATCCATCCATCCATCCATCCATCCATCCATCCATCCATCCATCAATTTTCTTCCGTTTATCTGAGTCGGTTTGCAGCAGCCTAAGCAGAGAGACCCAGACTTCCCTCTCCCCAGCCACTTGGGCCAGATCGTCTGGGGGAATCCTAAGGCATTCCCAGGCCAGCTGAGAAACAGTCCCTCCAGTGTGTCCTGGGTCTTCCTCTGGGTCTCCTCCCAGTGGGACATGCCTGGATCACCTCACCACGGAGGCATCCAGGAGGCATACTACCTAGATACCCGAGCCACCTCAACTGGCTCCTCTTGATGTGGAGGAGCAGCAGTTCTACTCTGAGTCCCTCCTAGATGACCGAGCTTCTCACCCTATCTCTAAGGGAGAGCCCAGACACCCTGCGAAGGAAACTCATTTCAACCGCTTCGATCCCCAATCTCGTTCTTTCGGTCACTACTCAAAGCTCGTGACCATAGATGAGGGTAGGAGCATAGATTGACTGGTAAATTGAGAGCTTCGCCTTTTGGCTCAACTCTTGCTTCACCATGATGGATTGGTACAGCGCCTGCATCACTGCAGACGCAGCACCAATCCGCCTGTCGATCTCACACTCCATTTTCTCTCATTCGTGAACAAAACCCCGAGATACTGAAACTTCTCCACTTGGGGCAGGAACTCCTCCCCAACCCAGAGGAGGCACTCTATTCTTTTTGGAGTCAAGACCATGGTCTTGGATTTGGAGGTACTGATCCTCACCCCGGCCGCTTCACACTCGGCTGTGAACCGCTCCAGTGAGAGCTGGAGATCATGATCTGATGAAGCCAATAGGACTACATCATCCGCAAAAAGCAGAGATGTGATCCTAAGGCCACCAAAACGGATCCCCTCAACACCTTGGCTGCACCTAGAAATTCTGTCCATAAAAGTTATTAACAGAATCTATGACAAAGGGCAACTTGGTGGAGTCCAACTCTCACTGGAAATGAGTCCGACTTACTACCAGCAATGCGGACCGAGCTCTGGCACCGGTCATACCTAACAGCCCGTATCAAAGGGCCTAGTACCCCATACTCCCGGAGTACCCCCCACAGGAGTCCCCGTGGGACACAGTCAAATGCCTTCTCCAAGTCCACAAAACACACGTAGACTGGTTGAGCAAACTCCCATGCACCCTCTAGGACTCTGCTGAGAGTGTAGAGCTGGTCTGCTGGTCCACGACCAGGACGAAAACCACACTGCTCTTCCTGAATCTGAGATTCAACTATCCGATGGACCCTCCCCTTCAGGACCCCTGACCTTACCAGAGAGGCTCAGAAGTGTGATACCCTTGTAGTTGGAACACACTCTGCGGTCCCTCTTTTTAAATAGGGGACCCACCACCCCAGTCTGCCAATCCAGGGGAACTGCTCCCCTGGCGTTGGAAGTATTCTGCCCACCGACCCACAACATCCCAAGTTGAGGTTAGAAGCGCACCATCCCCACCATAAACAGTGTTGGTGGTGAACGATTTCTCCCACAAGATACTGAACGGTGGACCAGAATCACCTCGAAGTCTTTTGGAAGTCTTTTTTCATGGCCTCTCCGAACTCCTCCCACAATGCCTCAGTGACCATCCGAGCTGCAATCCGCTTGGACTGCCAGTACCCATCAGCTGCTTCTGGAGTCCCACAGGCCAAAAAGACCTGATGGGTCTCCTTCAGCCTGGCAGCATCCCTCACTGTCGGTGTCCACCAGTGGGTTTGAGGGTTGCCGCCATGCAGGCACTGATGTCCTTTCAGCCACAGCTCCGGTAAGCCACTCAGTGTCCCCCACCTCCCCTGAAACATGGTCAAAGTTCTCCCAGAGGTGTAAGATGAAGCTCAGTCTATACCCTCAGCAATACCTTTGTTGTTTTTAACTAACATTTTGTTACTTTTAACCAATACATTGCTATAATTAGCTTTTAGCTACACATTTGCTGATTTTAGCTAATGCTTTGCATCTTTTCACTTTTAATCAACACTTTGCTATATTTAGCTTTTATATGTACATATTTTTGCTACTTTTAGCTTGTAGACTGCTTCACTGTTGAGTCTCCAGTCCAGTCTGTTGTCCAGATGAACACCGAGGTACAGTGTTTTGCAAAAGTATTCATACCCCTTGAACTTTTCCATATTTTGTCACATTACAACCACAAACATAAATATATTTCACTGGAATTTAATG